TCTTTCAAATCAAATTCTTGAGGTTGAGGATTTTAACATCCGATTCTGCATTGCTTTAGTATCATTTTCTATTGTAATGGTTTAAAAACAAATCTCCAAGGATCGATGTGAGTACCCCCTTTGTGGGATGTTAAGGCTCTGATTCTATCAAATTCAAATTTCCTTGATCAGCTCTATTGAGTTAGATGTGTGAGTCCCAGTGATTTTCTTCTCAATCCCATCATAAATTCCACCACAAATTCTCAAAGATCCATAATTCTGCCACAAATTTTCACAATCACACAAATTTTCACAAATTTTCGTCATTCCATACTTGCACAATTTTCAGAATTCTGTAAATCCCTTTGTGGATGATGTTAAGGCCTCCAATTCTATCAAATTCAAATTTCCTTGATCAGTTCCCAATTTCCGCAAGTTCATAGCTCCATAAATTTGTGTGATTGTGATTTTCTTCTCAATCCCAGCATAAATTCCACCACAAATTCTCACAGTTCCATAATTCCGCCACAAATTTTCACAATCACACAAATTTTCACAAATTTTCACAAATTTTCGTCATTCCATACTTCCACAAAATTTTCAGAATTCTATAAATCCCACCAATTTCCGCAATTTCATAGCTCCATAAATTTGTGTGATTGTGATTTTCTTCTCAATCCCAGCATAAATTCCACCACAAATTCTCACAGTTCCATAATTCCGCCACAAATTTTCACAATCACACAAATTTTCACAAATTTTCACAAATTTTCGTCATTCCATACTTCCACAAAATTTTCAGAATTCTATAAATCCCACCAATTTCCGCAATTTCATAGCTCCATAAACTTCTGCAATTTTGCAATTCCACAAATTTCTGCCAAATTACTAAAATTCTCAGCCTAAATGATTAAAAATTACCATTTTCAAAATCTAAAAAAAAATGATGAATGAACAAACAAAATTGAAGATATGAATGAAAGTTATATTCGATCCTTTTCTCCTAGTATCTCAAAACCCCCGCTGAAGGTTCTTAAACTCCTAACCCAAATTCAGTTTGCAAACTCTAATTCGATCTATATTCCGCCTTAAATATTTTGGTCTTGATATTCCTTCGAATTTTGTTAATCTATTCGGTCAACACCAATACTTGCGGTGTGTTTATCTAATACACCACACTATTGGAGGTCCATTTGTTGACCTCATTTTTTGTGAGGTAAAAATTCTTCTCATAGAACTTAGGGTCTAGCCACTCCTACAGAATCTTCTAGAGGACTGACAATGAGACCCACCTCACTTAGAAATTCTAATTGCTCATTGACTTCCCTTAAGTCTCATATGTGTGGTTTCAAACCTTCAATATCTAGTTGAGTCGATTGAAACCAACATGTGAAAGTTAAGGCGAGTTTTTATAAGGATTGAGAATACACTAGAAAGATCTTTTGAACTTTAGGAGCTTTCGATCTTCGATGCACCACAATTTACATAGTATATCCATATAGACCATAATACATACATAATTTACTATCAAAAATCAAATTTAAATTTAAAAAAAATGAAATGAAAACCTCGTAATGCGAATTTGGGGGACCCTTTGGCACGAGTTGACTGACTCGTCACCGAGACTGTTCTGTTTTGCTTTGGTTGTCACTTAAGTGAGGACCAATCCACATTTCGCTTGTCAAAGACCCTGATCGGCTCGACGAATCGCATCTGCCAGCGTTGGTCAAACTCAAATTGACTCGATCGTTGACAAACTTGTCAAGATGATCCTGTATGATGAAACAGACTACGTTAGTGCGTCTGGAACGCCAATTTTATTTAGGAAAAACAACCTATATTACTATGATTTCGTGCACAGACAAATGACACATAAATTAAAATAAAAAAGAGAAGAAAAAGAGAAGAATAACTTGATATTTTGATATTAAAAAAAAAAAGAAATCTCCTTTAAAAGCCTCATAACCAACTTGTCGTCGAGAATGTTCTGCTTTGCTTTGGTCTTCGATTAAGCGAGGACCGATCCACATTTCTCTTGTTGAAGTCTCTGATTGGCTCGACGAATCACATCTGCCACGCGGTGCGCTAGTCGAACTCTTCAGTGCATCTGGAACGCCAATTTTATCTAGAAAGAACACTCGTATTACTATGATTTAATGCACAAACAAATGACACATAAATTAAAATAAAAAAGAGAAGAAATAACTTAATTAAAAAAAAAAAAGAAATCTCCTTTGAAAGCCTCATGCCACTTCTCACAAGTACTCGACGAGGCCCGAAGGGCTCTCTCGAATTCTCTCGATGGAGAACCCTAGCCGTTAATCTCCACAACGGTTCTCCTCCCATTGATTGCCTTAAAGGCTCTCATCATTCGGCCCCTCTCAGCCGAACGAAACCCATAGCCCTTCCCTTCTCTCGCCGGCGGCCTCTCTCACCGGCAACCTCGCCGACCTGATTCCTTCTTTTCGCCGAGACCTCTTGCCTAAAGCTCTAGTTGGACTTCTCCCTTCTTTTTTTCTTTTTCCCCAAAGCTTTTGAGCTGTCAAAGGTTTTACTACTCAATCTTATTTGCTCTCTTCGGATTCATCATCATAGGTCCGATTTTCTTGCTTTATGCTTCTTTTCTACGAACAGTTCGATCATAGCTTTTGAATGTGCTGAAGATTAAAAATGAAATGATTCAACAATCTTGCTTAAAGCACTTTCATTCGTTTAATTTTAAAGATTTATTATGTCTTTCTTTATGGGTAAGATCTGAATTTATTTCTATTGCTGTTTATTTCTATTGCTGTTTAAGATTTATTATGTCTTTATATGAATAGATTGTGTTTTTTTAGTATTCTTCCTGAATTTTGACTGAAGTGGCGAGAAGCCATTATTTGATTATTTGCCCATGGATGAGAAATTTCTCTTAAAATATAAAGGGTATTTGCTTTGATTATGAAGTAATCGCTTTAATTTCTCTTCAAAGAAAAAACCTACTTCACTGTGCTCTGTTTTTATTTCTGAAGTAATCGCTTTATCTTCTGATGGGTTTTAAAGTTACGGTTGGAGAGCAAGATACTGTTATTTCAGCTCTTATATTGTCTTTGTATAGGTTCGCACATGCTTGTTTAAGCATCCTCCATGAAACTAACTCAGTAAGCAGCAAAATGTTGCATCTACTAACGGATGTTGTTATTTGCATTAAGTAGTCTGGATATATCATTTATGCGATTCTACGAGCTTTTCTATTCTTTCATTCTTGAATCAACAATGGGTTTCAAGAGTTGTTTTCGGTAATTAACATGACCTTGTGTTTCGATTTTCCTTGCTTGCTTGTGCTGCTTGATTTGAAGGTTTCAAAATAAATGGAAAGTGTAGTAGATGAAGATCTGAAATTTTGACCACTTTATTAGGCTATCGAAGCATTAGATTGTACTTTTTGGTGAGCCACGAGAATAAGGTTAAGTATTGCTTTGAGAAGTAATATTTATACAGATCTTTATAGCCAATGTGTTAAAGGCCGTTAAAAAGATGAAAGCACCATGACCATACTAAATTTGCAATATATAGTGGGGAAAGCTTGTTAATGTTGTTTGGTACATTTCTATGGGATTTTCTGGCTTCCTTTGATGCTGATGGTTCAAAGCCATTTGTTTATTACCAATAAGGAATTTTTTTCAATGGCTTTTCTATATCTATGTTTTGTATGAATGATACCCAAGGTTTAGGAATGTCGTTCGAGAAAAATAATTATGATGAATATGGTATCCATTTATGTGCAGTTCCGTTCCGTTCCAATTATCTCTTCACTCCATTTTGCATTACCTCATGTTCATTGTAACTGCACTCACGGTTTTATTCATGGAACCTTATCAAATTGCTAAATATGGAATTGATCAATTGATTTATCCCGGGATTTGAGCCCAAATCAGTGGAGAATTTCACTCAATATTTATGTGTTTACATATCTAACACCTTGAGTTTCAATTTCTTTATATATGCATCATTTCACTCATGCATGAGAAGCTATAGTGATAGTCTTTTGATATGCTATGAGGGAATTAGGTGTTATAAATGCAAATTTAGGTGTTAGATTTGTAGATACGTAAGAATTGGGATTGACAGTTAGTTTTTGCAAAATGGATAAGCTATGCACTCAGAACAGACAATTGATCCATTGGAGTTATGCCATTCACGTTTCAAACAAAGATTATGAAGCGGTCTTCACATTGCATAGTATTGAAATGAAATTTTCATCTCTAACAATCTCATTATTGAATTTGTGCTTATGGAAGGCATAAAACGGATATGCGCTTTGTTATTTCCCAAGTGTATACATGTGTGAGAATGCTCTATTCACCTTTCATGTGGCTTCCTTTGATGCTGATGGTTCAAAGCCATTTGTTTATTACCAATAAGGAATTTTTTTCAATGACTTTTCTTTATCTATGTTTTGTATGAATGATACCCAAGGACGTCGTTCGAGAAAAATAATTATGATGAATATGGTATCCATTTATGTGCAGTTCCGTTCCAATTATCTCTTCACTCCATTTTGCATTACCTCATATTCATTGTAACTGCACTTACGGTGTTATTCATGGAACCTTATCAAATTGCTAAATATGGAATTGATCAATTGATTTATCCCGGGATTTGAGCCCAAATCAGTGGAGAATTTCACTCAATATTTATGTGTTTACATATCTAACACCTTGAGCTTCAATTTCTTTATATATGCATCATTTCATTCATTCACGAGAAGCCATATTGATAGTCTTTCGATGCTATTGAGAGAGTTGGGTGTTACAAATGCAAATTTAGGTGTTAGATTTGTAGATACATAAGAATTGGGATTGACAGTTAGTATTTGCAAAATGGATAAGCTATGCACTCAGAACAGACAATTGATCCATTGGAGTTATGCCATTCACGTTTCAAACAAAGATTATGAAGCGGTCTTCACATTGTGTAGTATTGAAATGAAATTTTCATCTCTAACAATCTCATTATTGAATTTGCACTTATAGAAGGCATAAAACAGATACACGCTTTGTTATTTTAAGCATTCCCAAGTGTGTACATGTGTATTCACCTTTCATGTGCCTTGTATTTCTTTTCAACTATCTGCTTTGTCTTCAAATGGTAAACATGGAATGAAATACTTGCACACATGCCACCCAATTCCTTTGAACTTGCATATTTAACACTAAAACGTTGATGTTTACATATATGCCACTCTACCCAAGCATGAAAAGCTATATTGTTAACCTTTTTGGACATGCTATCAAGGGTCAAGGCCATTATAGATGTAAAATTAAGTACTAGATATTTAAATGCATAAAGAATTGGGTGGCATGCAAGCGTGTTATGGTAGCGTTATTCTATAAAATCTGAAACCTTTCATCATTTCTTTTCATAACATAAAAAGGAGAGGAAATCATATTTATTTCCTGTGATTTCTATGCGAAGCTTATTTAAAATAATTATAGCGTCAAAGTGGTATAATGCTTGGAGTCTTTGCCTTTTTGATTTTTGATGCGTGGCATTTAAGGGCCCTTTTTGTTTCCTGAAATTGACTTTTGATTACATGAAACACATAAGGATTGAATACTAGACTTGCAAACCTTCATAACATTCTCATATGCTCTTCTTAATATCAATGGTGGAAATCAGGTTCAAATAGAGACATTCATAATGTGGTTCTATATGAATTATCAAGCGAGCTATAAGTTGGAAGGTTTTGGGTCAAGGGCAATGATGTACAACACATTATTCTTGCTTATATAGCTGAAACTCTTTAATAACCAATATTTGATTAGTAGTTGCCATTCTCACTTCTTTAAGTTGTTGGTAGCTTGAACCCCAACTTTGAATGACTTGTGAACTATAGCTTTATAACATTAGTTGTCGAACATTTAGAAATTACATTGCTACAGAAATACTACATTATAGATACGTAGCACATGATAAAAAAAGCTTATTTGTTACATGTTCATTTGTCATTCAGGTAATAGGGATTTGAAGTTGCCCAACATTAGAGTGTTTTGCTGGTAGTTGCTATTCAATATTGGTATATAAACTTCGATGTCTCGGTTTCCTGTGGGATTATAATGAATGAGAAGTCTAAAGCTGAGCCCGTCCCCAATCTAAATTCTTATGCCCCTTTCTGGTTTTCCATATGCTCATCACTTAACTTTTTATGTAAACATGCATGTTTAATTAATTAATTTATTTATTTAAGTTGCAACTATTCGTTTAATCTTTTATATACACTTGTGCTACCTAGTTGCAATTCTGTATAAGCTTCGTCAGAGTCGACAAGTATGCACTGATCTTTTTATTTTTACTGCACTTTACTGTTTATATTTTCTTATACATGCAATATTATTCTCATGTTATTTACTGCACTTCACTACATATGCTCTGTCATACGTGCAATATTATTTTGTTGTTATTTGTTACTATTCTTCTAGCGTATTTTAATAACACTCTAGAATACCAAATGTAGAACATATGTCTAGGTTTGAGACCTTATAACACATAGTGAACATACTTCTTTTTTAATTTCAACACCTTTTCAAAATTTCATGACAAACTTTTTTTTTTAATTACAAATATTGTTTTAAAGCTTGGATAAATTAATAATAACATTATAATAATAAACATTTTTTTTTGGATTTACGAGAATCTCTCGGATGAGGTAACCTACGGTTGCTAACGAAAATTCTCCGATCTAAATAAGTCTAACGATTTGTTTAGACAAAGTAAATCCAAAATTAACAGTGATACCAACATGATGGAACCATGAGATCTTAATTGGTGTCGCTTAATATAAATCTTTCATTCTTTTTTTAATAATGACAAACACCAATTCAAAAAGTTTTGCACAAGATCACACTAAATAACAACAAAGATTTAAGATAGACCGTTCTAAGCATAATTCTCTCTTCCCCTCTTTTCTTGGAACGAGCGATGACACGATCGAGCGGTAGACAATCTTCAAACGACGGTCAAAACTACAAAATGGAGCAAAGGATGATCTTCAACGAAATATTTCCATAGTCTTAAGCAACTTAAACCTTTTAGAACTTCGAGGTTATTCTTCTAGCACGACGTAAATCCTCATGCTATCTTTTAAGCTTTTGTACGATCGTATATTGTGGTAATATATGTCCTAATCTTTTTTTAGGTTTACGAGGTTGTCGTTCAGTACGACATAAATCTTTCTGTCTTCTTGTGCTATTTTGAATATGTCATGAAAATATAAGTCCCAAATTTTAATAAATTGCAGGATCGAAACATTATATTTTCTCTTTCAAAGATGTAAAGCTAAACCATATGTTATTTTGAGATGTCTCTAAGTAACTGTTCCAAATTGAGTCTTCGAAACATTATATTTTCTCTTTCAAAGATGTAAAGCTAAACCATATATTATTTTGAGATGTCTCTGAGGCTTCTTCAGTATCTTCGACATCACCTAATTTTAGGTTTATTAGGTTATCGTTCAGTACGACATAAATTTTTCTATCTTCTTGGGCTATTTTGAATATGTCATGAAAATATAAGTCCCAAATTTTAATAAATTGCAGGATTGAAATTTTATATTTTCTCTTTCAAAGATGTAAAGTTAAACCATATGTTATTTTGAGATGTCTCTGAAACTTCTTCAATATCTTCGACATCACATAATTTTCACTTCTTTGGATTTCGAAAGTAACTGTTCCAAATTGAGAAGTAACTGTTCCAAATTGAGTCTTCGAAACATTATATTTTCTCTTTCAAAGATGTAAAACTAAACTATATGTTATTTTGAGATGTCTCTGAGGCTTCTTCAGTATCTTCGACATATGTTATTTTGAGATGTCTCTGAGACTTCTTCAGTATCTTCGACGTCACCTAATTTTCACTTCTTTGGATTTCGAAAGTAACTGTTCCAAATTGAGTCTTCGAAACATTATATTTTCTCTTTCAAAGATGTAAAACTAAACCATATGTTATTTTGAGATGTCTCTGAGGCTTCTTCAGTATCTTCGACATATGTTATTTTGAGATGTCTCTGAGACTTCTTCAGTATCTTCGACATCACCTAATTTTCACTTCTTTGAATTTCGAAAGTAACTGTTCTAAATTGAGTCTTTCCCTTTGACTTTTTTTATAAGTAAATGTGAAAACTCAACTTTGATTTCTTAAAGACGAAATTCCTGATCCTAATCGAAAGTTTTCTTAAGTGACTCTGGTCATTTAAGATGTAATTAACTATATGGGCTTGCCTTTATAGGAAATTAGAAACCCAGGTAATATAAACCCTAACAGATGTCACAAATCTCTTCGGGTATATCATCGATGTATACACTTATCTTTCGGGAAGAGGTAATATTTGTGGTATCAGCACGACAATATAAACTAATAGACGAGTGAGACACATTCAGTCTCATTTTTTTCAAAATTGAAACAGACTCTATCTTTAAAATAAAAAAAAAAATTATATACCCTTTATATTTGATTAAATTTATAATATATAATTTCAAAAAAAATTGACCGACAAAGCCTTTGTCTTTTGCCATTCTACTCATCACAAAAATGGAAAGTTATAAGCTCCAATGCTAATACTATGCACCGTGTAGAAAGATCAATCATTATAGACAAGACTGTCAATGCTTAACAAAAGTAATTCAAACAACTCATAGGCAAGAGCAAGAATGCACCTGGAATTACTAACCAAGCATCCCAAAATAAGAAATATAAGCAGTGTGGGTCATGGCCTTCTCCCTCGACCTCTGCACTAATAATGCAATTCTTAGAGGGAGATTAAGGTGTTTAGCTTTAGTTCTTTAGCAAAGTTCTAGATTTTGTGTGTTGAAGAGGAGCAGCCATGGCATGAATATCTTGGTGTTGGGTGCTGAATTGTTGGCTGAAAGTTGAGATCGAGTTCAATTTTTCTCCTGAGCCAGTTCATTTGATTTTTTTTTTCTTAAATTAACATTAAAATATTTAGATCATTTGTAATTGCTATGCATTAATTAATAAACCTATTGAGATTAAAGTTGCTTCGTGTGAATGTAGATTTCATTTGAACTTGAATCATGTAAATGGCTTTTTTTTTGAATGATTCTCGTAGCAAGTTGAAGCTTATGTATATGTGCAAATTTTTTTTCCAAATGATACCACCTATAGTTTTTTCTTCCCCAAGTTTATTTTAATTTAATATTATTAAGAAAATTAATTATTTTCTTACAAGAACAGATTTAATAAAACACATTGATTATTTTCTCATGAGAATAAGAGATCGTCTAGACTACAAAAATTTTAAGGTCATTTTAAGTGAAAATTTAAGTAAAACATTATCATAGAGTTAAATTAGAACATTTAAAATACACAAATAAGATTATTTTTATGAGTAAATTTCAAGATTACAACATTTGAGATGTTCATTTAGAAGCTAAATCTATGTGGACCAAAGTAAAAAAACACTATTAAAGAAGTGGCAAAAGATATAATTGGAGATTCAAAAGAAAAAATAAATAAATAAAAAAAGTTGATGGTGAGATAATAATTGCAAGAAAAAGATAAAAAATAAGTTGTGTTATAAAAATTAGTTTAATTGTAAAAGCTTAGAGAATTGAGATAAATATAAGGTAGTCGTTGGGAGTCCAAGAGAACAGTGAGTGATACTAATAATTCTTCTTTTATTGATTTGTATGATAAATTAGATACAAAACAGAGTGAAAAATATATGTATAAATTAGCCAAATAAAGAGAAAAGAAAAGTAAAGATTTAATTCATGTAGAGTGTATTAAAGATGAAAATCAAAGTATTTTTCTTAGAACAAAAAAAAATTCTTAGAAGACGATATTCAACATATTTGGGTGAGTTATTTGGATAAACTTTTTAATAAAGTTTTTGAAAGTACGATTGATCTTAGTGATCTTAATATTGTTAATAATAATAATTTTTATTATTTTTATCGGCACATTAGTAAAAATGAAGCTTTAAGGAAAATCAAGGGTAAAAAATGAGTTGAACCTGATGATATTCCTATTGAAATGTGGAAATCTAGGGTATTCGAGAGTTTCTTGGCTTAACACTTTAATATAATTTAAAAAACTGGAAACATGAACGAGGTGTGGAAGAAGAGTGTTTTAGTTTCCATTTTAAAAATGAAGGGATGTACAAGACTGAAAAATTGTAGTGGATGAATCATAATTTAAAATTATGAGAGAGGGTAATTGAACGTTAGTTAAGACGTGATACAAGAATTTCTCATAATCAGTTTGGATTTATATCGGTCAACTCTACTATGGAAGCTATATATTTATTGAGAGGTTTGATAAAGAAGTAAAGAGTAAGGAGGATCCACATATGATTTTTATTGATTTAGAAAAAGTTTACAATAAGGTTTGAAGAGAAGTTCTTTGAAGAGTTCTAAAAAAGAAAGATATTGATATGACTTATATTTAACTCATTAAAAATATGTATATTATGTTCAGAAAGAAGGGGATTGACCAAATATTGTCCTATTTCAGTTGGATTACATCAAGAATTAGCTTCAAGTCCATATCATTTTGTTATAGTTATGGATGCTCTTACTGGACATATATAGGAGGATGTACCTTGGTGTATGCTCTTCGTCGATGATATCCTTCTTGTGAATAAGACAAAGACAATTAGTAGTAGCAGCTCTAGTAGGAAAAACTTGAATTATGGAGGTCTACACTAGAGTTTAAAGACCTTTGTTTGAGTACATCTAAAATTGATTACATGGGATGTAATTTTAGTAAATCATTAAAACTGTGACCGATCAAATCATTAAAAGGTGTGAACGTTTTTGATATTTCGTGTCTTTTGTTCAAAGTGATTGTGATATAGATGGGGACGTTGATAGCAGAATTCAAGTTGGGGTTGGTTGAAGCGTAGTAATGCATACTTATATGAAAATTTTATAAGATGGTGGTCAGAACTGCAATGCCTTATAGCGCAGAATTTTGGCCTTTAAAAGATGAGCATAAAACTAAGGGTGTAAACGAGCCGAACAGGAGCGAGTCTAGGCTCAGCTCGTTTCGTGTTCGGCTCTTTTATATTTCGAGCCCAAAAAGTGTGTTCGTGTTCGGCTCGTTTACTTAAACAAGCCGAACACGAGCGTTCTCGTGGCCTTTAAAAGATGAGCATAAAACTAAGGGTGTAAACGAGCCGAACAGGAGCGAGTCTAGGCTCAGCTCGTTTAAGGAAACGAGCCCAACTCCAGTGTTCTCGAACAAAGAGTCATTTTGACAATTCTAATAATGTAGCCATCAGATGTTAAGGATTGAGTCAAGATTTAAAACATCATTTGAATCTAATTTAATAATTTTTATTATATTTTCTTTAATAATACTTTTAATTGATTATAAATCTTTGTAG